TCTGAAGCATATAAAATAGGTTTTGTATTGGTTTTAAAGGAATTTCCCCAAATTTCCACACAGTAAGTCATGTATGGAAGTATTAAACAACAATATAACATATTTAAAGTTTTTAAATTTAGAAAATGTTTTATTCTGTTTAACATTGCAATAGTTTTTGACATTTTTGCTTTTACATTTTCAATATGAGCCTTCCAATGCAATTTGTAATCAAGTGTCACTCCTAAAAATTTAATTTCATACACTCTATTTCAGTATTATTTATCTTCAGTTCAACATCATTTTTTATTCCTTTATTACTAAATACAATATATTTTGTTTTATCGTGATTTAGTAACAGGTTCTCGCCTCAGAGCCACAAACCTTAAACAGCTCTGGTGAAGGAGGCTTTTTGTTCGATGTGTTGGTGAAAGTGAGAATCTACATGACAAACTGTAAATTTCCCTTCCAGCGTCGTTGCATTCAGGGTTGAACCGATGAGACTTTTTTACATTTATGGCACCAGAATATAAAGATTAGCTTGTTTATTTTTTTCTCACTGAGATTCAGGGGTCTTGAAGTGATTCTGGGGAGCTGCTGAAGCTCTTTATCATCAGCTCTGTGATCTACGAAAACACCCCGCCCCCCTACAAAAAACCCCAGACCTGAACCAGTCGTCATCAGACGTGTGTCACACTGATCAAAACCCCCACATGTTGATGCATATTGATTCCTAAGCTCTCTCATCTTTGTCCAAGCACCTGTTCTTTGAGCTCAGGAAACCCTCTTGACGGTTTTGAAGCTTCACATTTAAGCATTTGTGAGCGCGGGAAGACAAACTCACATTCTGGCCCTGCGGTGGCGATGGTGGTGTTTACGTCCTTTGATGCAGCCGTTCCTGTTTGGGCTGTCTGCCTGAGTGTCAACTGCTTTCCTATCATCGGTGTTCAGCGGTTGGCAGGTTGTTGTTTCTGAGCTGAGAAGAAAGAAAAACAAAAATAGAACACATTTAGCTTGTTGGGCTCTTCAGCAAAATTCCAATGTTTTTTTTTTCTAGCGGTCCACACAGTTAATGCTTCCATCATACAACAGTGAAGACGGGGGTTTACATGCTCAGTTTGCCTGATTTCCCCTGGTCCACTGGTTATGTGTTTTATTCCCCACCATTTCCTCCTGCCAGCTAATCTTGGGGAGAAACAGAGGGCAGTAATTTACTACTCAAACTGATGTGTCAATGGAAATGTAGTTATTTACATGCTTCAGCTGCTTTGACATTTGAGTAAATGTTTTCCACAGCGACCTGAGAAGATGCAAGTCAGAATACTTTACATTTTCTGTGTTTTTTCACTCTTTTTTTTGTTCACATGTGTTAAAAGGATAGTCTGGGCATTTTTATCAGCCAGTTGAACTTTTGCTTTGTAGCTGAAGATGTGGAGATCCAAACAGCATGAGGTCGGTATCATTATTCTGAACACATAGATTGATCTTGTACCTCACTGATGTAGCAGATGAGTGAAATTCAGACTGCGTATGTGTTTGAGGTGTTAGGGATGCAACAATACATATCTGTAACGAACCGTTCAAAATGCACTATGTATTGAGCAATACGGATTTTTAAATTATCATTTTTAATTATTATTTTATCAGCTTTTCTTCTGAAGATGCTCTGTGTTGAAGGATCAGTGGATCTGTGTTCGACTACTCCACCTGGGCTGCATTGTCGAGCACAGATCCACTAAAAACTTGCTGTTTCAGCAATATTTAATTTAAAAACTGTACTTTTGAGGTTAAACAAATGTTCATAATTAATTTAAATAAATTAAAAATTAAGAAAGGCATGGACATTACTTTTTTTTGTATTGAAAAAATATCAAACCGTGAGACTAAAGTATCGAACTGAACCGAATCGTGAATTTTCTGTATCGTTGCACTCGTAGTATGGAAGTATATTTACTTTATTACAAGTATTTTTTTAAGGCTCTGTATTTTACCAAATATATTTTTAATCCCAACTTTTATTTCTTTTCCATTCAAAACATACAAATGATACGTTTACTTCTTTTTAAAACTGAACACCTTTTTACGCACTAAAAATTTACACATGACCAGAACTCAGTGAATCAGTGGCAGAAATGAGATTTTTCTGAGTAAGGTGCCACAGTTTAGTAGCTATTTGTTCAACATCAGTTTGGTGTATGTTCAGACTTGTAAAGTAATTTAATTAAAAAGTCTTTGCACAGTAAATTCTCTTTACCAAGTTCGTATAACTTTTTACAGTACATACACTATAGATAAAATACTCTAAAACACACAGCATGTGAGAAAATCCTGCCATCATTTGTCAGTTGACAGAATTCTCTGCAGGATTGTTCAAATCTTCTTTAGAAAGACTTCTGTAAGATTCATGCTGGACTTTTTTATTTGACTCTTTAGCGCCACTAGTGTTTTGACATGGAACTGCACCCACCATCATCCGTCTCCGGCAAAAGACAGATGAGTGGCAGGACAGCAGGCCACGCCCCTTTTACTTTCACAGTTATTGCGCAGTTTTATGATTTTTACTACACTACTTTTATTATCAGTAATATTCACTTTACCAAAGTCTTTAGAATTTTCCGTAATTTTTTAAAAAACTTTACTAAGTTGTTTTTTTTTTCAAGTATACATCTCTGTTGATATAGTGCCACATATTGAAAATACCAGGGCTGAATTTGAAAAAAATGAGTTGATCACATTAAAACTGTTATTAAGAAAATGTCTTTTTGCATCTTTTTAATTTAATAATTGATTTACTTTGTTTTTTTTATGGACATTTTGTTGTTTTTATGAAATAAATAAAAATGATATCAGTCACAACTGCCTGCAGTTTGAAGGTAGCATCCTTTTTACCCTGTTTACTAATTGTTGTTTAAAAGATAAAGTTGTTGCTATTTCAAAGATTTCTCTGTGAAAGTAACAAAATATTTTTACACACGACAGACTTGATAAATCCAACGATTGGATGTGGGCGTCCAGTGGAAACCCTGACAAATATTCTGTTTAGCCATGAGAGGCCTGAGCGTAATTACAAATCCTGCTCTTCTCCATCGAGTGGCTCCCACCTGATTGTAATGGGAAGGTAATCAGAGCAAGAGATTAGTCCATCAGCACCGTCTCTCCCACTTCCTCACGCGACGAGCAGGCAGGAGCCGTCGTGTTCCATCTTCCTCACCTCGGTCGTCGGGGTGGCTCCTCGGAGCGAGAGGAAGTGCCCCTGACAGGGATCTAATATTGTAAAACGGCAGACTGCGTGCTCCGACATGATCGGGTGTGGAGACGGTGTTAGAGGAGATAAAGATAGTCACCAGAAGCATGATTAGTCTGATCAAGGGGGCTGATGGGAAAGCAACTTTTGAATTAAGTGGTGATTGGACCGATTTCTCTGTGAAGATGTGGGCCAAAGAAATCTGTTCATGCTGTTGTTGAAAGGGATTACAATGTCAAACTAAAAAAGATGGACCTGGAAATTGATTTAAATAAATAATTAAATAGAATGAATATATCATTACAGGAACAAGAGATATTGAATAGACCATTATGAGGACTAGTGGAGCCTAATTCTTCGGGGTCACACATCAGACAAGAAAACACTGAGGCTACTATGGAAACATGATTTGGAATTGTGCAAACGCAACAAGATTTATAGCAAAGATGTTTATGAAGCATCTTATCTATGATCCTAAAGGAAAGTTTAACACAAATCTGTCTGTATAACTGGGTTGAATTTTTTTATACTCTTTAACATTTTTCATTACAATAAAACACACAACACACACTGAACTTGGGGCACCGATTATATACATATAAACACACACATACATATACATACATACATTACAAGATATTACACCTAGTTATGCTTCCTTGCTCTTGTATGTCAGCCATTTAGACCAACGTTTGTTGTAAGAATGTCCTTTCACACGTAAAAAATGTCAGTTTTTCCATAGAGTGAATCTCCTCCACGACGTCCCTCAGTGGTCCAGCTGGGGAGGGAGTTTCTATAGCCAATATCGTGTAATTGCTTTTTTGCTTGCAATTGATAGAACTTTAAAAAGGTACTCATCCTCTTTTTGAAACAATTCTCCAGATATCAGCACCAACAGAAAATTTCTAGGATCTTTGGGGATGACATACCCCAAAATTATCCCAGTAGTCTGACATATTCCATCCCAGTAAGTTGCCAACTTCGGGCAGGACCAAAATACATGAGAATGGTTGGCGCTCTGATGTCCACATTGTCTCCAGCATTGCTGTTCTTCTCCTCTATGTCTACTAGTAATTTGAGGTGTAATAAAGTATCTAATTAAGCACTTCCATCCAAATTCCCTCCATCTTTTAGAGCTGGTGGACGTCTTTTGTGCCACACACATAGAAAGCCAAACATCCTCTGTAATCTTTACTCCCAATTCCCTTTCCCATTTAGACTTAATATTCAAGGTGTTMTTTCCATTATGTTTCTGCAAACCTTTATATAGTTTGGAAACAGTTTTGCATGGGAGGTGCGTATAAGCATTTGCAAAGATGTTCACAATAGTATTACCTTCTGGAGGAACACCTATTTTTATTTTTGTATTGTAAAAATGTCTGACCTGGAAATATTTAAATAGATCTCTATTCTCAAGGTTATAACCCCTTTTCAGTTGTTCAAATGTTTTAAAGGTGTTACCTTCTACAAACGGGCATAAAGCCACAAGCCCTCTATCTTTCCAATCTAAGAAAGAAGAGTCTAATTCTCCTGGCMGGAAGTTTGAGTTACAGGAGGGCCACATCAGAAGTCCAGTGACATCTGCCAATCTGTACCTATCTACCATAACTGGGTTGAATTTAATCAATTTCAATGACATTCTCCGCGTTTTCCCAAAAACACATATATGCCTGGCCAGCTTCTTGTATTTGTAACCGTATTTAACTACAAAATGGTTTATTGTCAGTTTTATTCATGTTTCGAAACTGTGAAAATAAGCAAACCAACCAAGTCTTCTTCCCTTTGTAAGCTGACCAATACTCAAACCCCTAAGCTATAAACACCTGGCTTTGACTTTGAGTGTAAAAAGAAGAAGGAAGACGAGTGATTTAACAAACTGTTCATCCAAACAGCTGAAGGCGTCGACGAGGGCCAGCGCAGAGCTCTGAATTGGCAAAGAGCTCGAAATGAACGGGAAAACTGAGCGGATTAACAGACTTGATGAGTTCGATTCATGTGAACACTAATCCTCTTAAATCCAGGCTGGTTTTTGTTTTCATAGAAACAGCAAGAAACAGGTAAAAGTGAGACTTTGCTTTGACAGATTCACTCCAATATTAAACAAGCTAGTTGCTAGCCTCTCCAACGCTAACACAAATTAATAGTCTCCTTCTCATTAAACATTAAACCTCTCAGTTAGCGAGGCCAGCCTGTCATTAATCAGATCCATAGCTGGCTTTAAAATAGGTTTAGCCTCCTGCTACAAGGATGTAGCAACTGCTGGTTGCGCTGAAGTCTTAAATTTGTCCCTCATACCGCGCCATAAATAGAAAGATTTTCACTTGTCGACTCTCATGAGAAAGGTCAAACACAATTTCATTCATGAGGACCAATTCCACTAAGTTCCATCCTCGGATGGAAGTTTTCCTCCTCTCAGCACGAGGCTCCTCTTCCTCGCTCACCACCGACACTGATGATAACAGAGGGTGAGAAACTCGCAGCCTACAGGACAGTGATAACGTGATTTTTCACCTCACAGTGTTCCAACACCTTCTCAAGCAAAATGTGCTCAGATATCAGCAGTTTTGTCAAATAGTCAGATTTTATTTGCTTTAAATTAAAGAAGTGCGGAGCTCCAGACGTCGCTGTAATTATTCTTTACAACAACAAATGATAATAAACATATGCACAAAAGCTTTCACACTAACTTCGCTTTACAAACACAAAAATGGTGTTAGCTCAGTCATATGTCA